TGCCAATCGCCAGCCTCCAGATGAATCGCCAGGCTAAGAATAGCCTCCTATAGCCTCTCAGGCCTCTGAGCACCAATCGCCAACCACTCCTGCACAACCCTAGTCAGGAGTGAGTCACCCTCTGTCCAATTCTTCTCGCCACACACTCACTACCACCACCCTTACTGACAACAACCCTGAAGATGATGAATCGCCATGAGACTCAACTCTAGTATCTCGCGAGAGGATGATGGTTGCGACAACTCATCAATCGTTCCAGCGTCTGGATCCAATAGCTCTGATACCAACTGTTATGATTCTGGTTGTTTGTTGTTTGAGACCAACACTCGCACACATAGACTTCCAGGCATGCCCATACATACACAGAAGGAAGGGGAGAGGATATGAGTACCACACCGCACAGGGAGAGATAAACACAGCAGAAGACTTGACCATGCGATATGACAGGGTACAGGGAAAGTGCAATTCACTCCACTCAATCCTCACAACCAGTCATAAAGAAAGCCGAGTAGATCACATCCAGGAAACAATGAAACGATGATAGTCCAAACCCAGTATTATACTGTTTATTAAACTCGGAGTCTCGAATTGTCAGGATAACCTCAGTACTACAGTGATTTCTGAGCAGCGCTTCACTCCCCAACCCCGAGTAACCACTCGTGACACCCCTGAGCCCCTGAAACATCAAGCGCCACCCAGATACAGCCTCCAAAGGGAAGCGCCACCCTGAAATAGGCCTCTGAGGCCAAGCGCCACTGAGAGGATGAAGAAGAAGACCAGCGCCACACTATCTGATGATGACGAAGTGTCGGAAGACTTTACGGATGGAAGTCTGCAGCAGCGCCGCCAACTCCTGACAAGATGACCTCTGAGGAAGAAGCTGCAGCTATGGCTGCAGCGCCACAACCCTGGAACCCCACTCCGAAGGAGGGTTCAGCAGGGCACCAACTTCTCTCCCCTCCAGCAGACCTCGATAACCCAGACCTCTGACAGCCCCTACGTGCTGGCAGAGTGCAGCGTCGGTCCTAGCTATGGCCGGCGCTCCGAAGGTCTGGCTATGCCTGTCTCCTTCCACGTTGAGCCGTCACCACTTCCGGTTCACGCGTAGCACAGCAGCGATGTACTCGGTACCAACTGCCAAAAAAATCCCTGAACCGATGCCCATCCTATCTATAGACTAAAACTAGCCTAGACTCGGCCCAGACCGGACTGACTGACTGACCGGTACCGATTCAGTTTTGGCCTCTCGGCCTCTACCTCACCCGGCTATAGTCTATAGGACCGTCTATCAGCATAGGCCTGTAGCGCCTGTCTGTCTTAGGGGTAGCCCGGGCCTGCTATTCGCAGTTAGGTTAGCCGTAGGAAATTCAGTTAGTACGGACCTGTATTTTCCCGCATTTACAGATATGTCCCTCACGAATTCTCCTTACAGGCAGGTCACTCGGTTAGCCCTCAGCCAAACAAAATTACGAATCTGCCCTACTTATAGTACAGCCACGACAGAGAGAGGCTACAGGCGACCAGAAAACAGCAAGTCATTGCGATTGTGGAGATGTGGCCCCTCCTTACTCGCCACTAATCAGTGAACTTCCCTGTCATATGTGATATTCTTATGTGCATCTCTCTCTCTCTCTCTCTCTCTCTCTCTCTCTATATATATATATATATATATATATATATATATATATATA